GGCTATACTCTGTAATAATCTCTTAAGACATTATCACAAAAAACAAACTTTTTAGAAAAAAAAACAGAGACTAACTTTGAATGTAGAAATGGATTCATTAACCATTGGTTAGTATGGAAAATATGTCGTTTACCCCAGGAAAATTCTTTTTTTCGCCAAAATGAACAGTTGTTATCCCTTTAAGAAGCACTAATGCTTATTGCATGTTAAAATAAGAATAAAAACAAGATTTACTACATATTCTAGGCTCACATCATTTGAGTATTTTTAATTTCTCGACAAATAGCATTTAATGTTTTCTGACAATTGAAATGAAGGCCATCGTTTTTATCTTGTAATTCCTTTGTCTGCCAACGATCAAAGTCAAAGATGACTTGCAACTAACGATAAGGAATGTTCGAATCTTTGCATTTGAAGGAAGGCCTCGGAACAGTGTGTATGGATTCTTCACTTGTATGTCGGGGTTGCTTAAAGTTGTTCAGTCATAATTGCGCCTAAGTTAGAAAAATACACAGAAAGTAAAAGAAAAATCAAGAACAAGAACAAAGAATAATGTCAGGGAAGGAAGTAGTGACTCGTGTCGTGATGGTTTCTTTGTATTTTTAGTAACCGATGGACTGTTTTAGACATTAAAAGGCGTCTCTGTGTAAAGTATAGGTTAATGTTACTATGACAACGCTACCTAAAATCAACCGATGGCCCAAGTGAGCGTTGTATTTTGCTAGGATTTTCAAAATAATTTCCCCAGATTTCTAGGTGACAATTTTTCTGCACAAGATTACAAGAGTAGCAGCAATGAAACATGCAGTCCATGTATATACAACTAGCATTTGCAGCTCCAAATTCCCCCTGTATATGAAATACTTTCTTCACATCAAAATGGGCAAATCAAATAGATTTGTCAAGTAGAATCTAGGCTTATTGTAAGACGGACATTGTGTTGATGAATCGCACTTTTCATCTTCGGTGTCACTCAAACGTTTTATTATTATTATTATTATTATTATTATTATTATTATTATTATTATTGTCATTTCCTCACTATTCATCGTGGATGCTATTCTTTCTTTTGCCTCTTTGCTATTTTGTTTCTTTCCTTTCTTTCTTAAGAAATTTTTTAAAATAAAACATGAAAGAAAACCCCCATTATCAACGAAGTCATTATTCTAAGTGTCATTTCTCATACCCCAGGGAAGACTTGAGGCTGAATCATTTACGAATATCTCCCCAAACCAGGTACCTATAGTCTTCCACTGTGGTTGTAGGTGCGACCTAGCGGCGCTGAGAGTCTGTTCTTCCTCATTGAGGCATCTCCAGGGCTTTGTTCTTGTTTATGAAATATCTGTGCTTTTTCAAAGAGAACGTTATGTGAAAACGACTGCCCCTGTCTCAGCTGGCTAATGTAATTTATGACATTATATAAATTATTATAGAATATATTATTATCAACCCGCCCATAGCATTTTCTACCAGTTCAAAAATTATTGTTTTTTATTGTATTTTTTTCTTTGGCAGTAAAGGGGAAAGGGAACATAAGTGCATATATTTCGCCATTTAGGGCGACAAAGCATTTTAGGGGATGCTGTTTGAGTTGGTTTTACAGGGGATGCGGGTGTGTGGTGGGGGGAGATGTCATAAAGGAAACGCTAAATGCAAGGACGGGCTATTTTTATGTGTGTCTCTCAAAGTGTTTTGAAATAAGCAGTCTGTAAATCCAAATGCTGAATTTCAATATTGATAACAATAGTGACCACAGCTTAAATGACTCATCTGTCGTAATAGATGGGCTCCACCCCTCACATCCATAAAACGTAAATAGAAATCCCCCCCCCCCTCCGCCTTAATAGAAGTTCCCCGGTGCGTTACTTGGCATATGTCTCGTTCTGCCATGGGTCATTTTACAGGTAACCGCGTTGCATATTAAATTTTTCAAGATCGATCCAGTAAAACAGTAGACTCGCTTTGCATGTTTTTCAATGCTTAAAATAGAACCCCCTGCTTAAATAGAAGTCTCCGTTTTTAAAAGAGGTCCCAATAAAAATTTACTGAAATAGAGGTCTGACTACTGTGACAAATACGGAATACAGATATAAAACACGCCAACAACCGGTCAGTAGCCATTACAGTCTGCTTAACTGCACATAAAGAAAATGACAATAACAATGGCGTTTTTGCATCCGTCTTGTTTATTTCCTTGGTGTAGTCTTTTTGCACATGGAAATCCCGGTACTTTGTGACCATGATAAACACAACTGTAATACCCTATTTATATCAAAAAGGTATGGTTGAAAACAGAAGGAATTGCAGTCGAATTGCAGCTCGAGAAGCTGATTGTCACGTGACACACGGAAACCGAAGCTACCTTCTTTCATAATAGACGTTAAACCAAAAAAAAAAAAAAAAAAAAAAAACAGAAATTTGGGCTTTGTGCAAAGAACCTGTTTTCGTTCATGTGAAGAATAGCCTTCATTGCTTGAAAATGCGTTTCATTACCTTTTTTTTATAGTATCAAAATGCATTTGAAATGATATTCTTCATTTAGTGTCCAGTGTATTCATCGTTGTACACAAACATAGATAAATAAATTAATTAATAACTAAAGAACACCATGTATGTCTGATATGACTTGCAGAGATATAAATATAAATATATATATACAATTGATAGATACCAACATAGCTGGCTGAATATATCTAAAAATTATAACAATTAGAATGAGACATAAATGTGTATGTAAAAGGTATAAAAATCAGTAAATAAAAAAAGTTAGTACAAAGATAACAGATAAAAGTATACAGAAACATATGCAACCAAGATAGCAGATAACACTTAGCTCAATAACTAAATAAGAAAGATAATAAACCAATTTCAGAGAGAATGAGAGTACAGAGATCTATGGGTATTTGCTTCTGGAGATCTTGGTAACAGGTGATAAAGAACAAAAAGTAAGTAAAAATTGATTTGCAGCGGTAAATATATCAAAATGGAAATTACTCCAAGCAATTACAAAATATTTTTTAAATAGTCAATCATTCATGCACATGCACAATTAAACATATATGTCATTCATCAAAAACTTTTACAAATAAAATAAAAATAATAAATAAAAGAATCGACTACGAAATAACAATGTTCTGCTGACCCTCCGAATGCCCAGAAAACTTTTTTTGAATGAAGTGAGTGTGTTTTCTGGCTCTTTAATATAAATTTTACATTAAAATGTTGCGTGTTGAACAGTGTGTAAAGAAAAGAGCAGCCTGTGATTACTGTCTTATTGATGATAATTACATATTGTTTACTTATGTAAACCTAATAGGAATATATACATAGTCATGATATTTATGTGACATCGCTTAGTAGTGTTTAAATAAAATTTTCAAGATATTACAATTTTTTATGTTTTACTTTCTGGTCTTATACTCGTCTTAGATGAAATGATGCTAATAACTATTTTGGATGTCCTCACTTGAACAGAATCTGAACATATTCACACGTAACATAAGTTTTGTTGTTTTTTTTTTTTTTTTTTTTTGTATTTTTAAACCCAGAATTTTACATAAAAAGGGTTTCAGTAAATCATGACGTTAACCTTATTTTCTCGCCAAACGTATTTCTATTTAGCTGGTTTATACATTATATTACAAGGTACTTTCTTTTTGGGAAACAAAACAGTAAAAAAAAAAAAAAAAAAAAAAAAAAAAAAGAAAAGAAAGAAAGAAAGAAAAGAAAGATCCTACATTTCATATTTGACTTTCACTGAAATTTATTTATGCCATACTAACAAAGGGAAATAATAATAAAAAAATAATAACTTTATACTACCCCTTTACAATAGGGGTAGTTCTGGATTGGATTTCGTGTGATACATCCTTATATACAATGATTTTAACACAATTTAACGAAAAAGAACATCCTTTTTCAACAACCATATATATATTCTTAAAAATATAATTAAATATTCTGTCTATATATAAGTAAGATTGTTTCCTTCTGAAAGTAACACCTAGTAAAATCAATAATTTATCATATGATAAAAGCGCCATAAAATGGTAGGTACTAAGAATTGTTCCAATAACTTGGGATTAGTCCTTACGACTCCAAATTGGACATAAAATCATTATAAAACGCGCTTATCTTTTAACATAATAGTAACAAAATGTTGTAGTGTTTCATGATATGATCCATGTAGTTTACAGACTCCGTTTAAAACGAATTTATTTGGCTTGACTCGCACTCTAGGTAGACACAATGTGTTCGTCCTGCATATAAACTTAAGTGTACAGTCCCAGAAGATTCAGGAATCTAAAAAATATTTTCCAACCTTACTATGTCTTTCAAAAATGCGTACTTTTGAAAAGTATATCTGTCCTTCTATTCCCTTGCCGTTTTTCGCTTCATCTTTACACTTACTCTATTGGATGAGTTCGAAACAAGCTGAGTGATCATTGCCTCCTCATATGTAACCCATGCCACACTGGACCAGTGTCACAATAACATCTCTGAAATAAGCTTATAGTAACTTAAAACCTTGAAAGACTTCAAACTAAAATTCTTAATATGAATTTATGGTCACCCAAGTTGCATCTATATGTTTGAAATAGGTGACCAAAATGTATAAAGCGGCATTGTAAACCATCCACTGTGCTGCTTAACGTTTATGCAATAATGCTTTTACAATGATGTCCTTGAAAAACATACGTGCACGATAGTTTCACAGTATTTTGTTTAGGCAACACAATATCATACATACATAAGGAGTACCCGCATCCCTTTTTAAACTACATATTCCTAATGGATACTTAACGAACACGTATTCTAGAACTGTCTCTAAATATAACTTGAAACACAATATGTTTTCATCTATCGAATATTAATATTGCTTTTTTTGATAGTATATAAAGATTTGTCTCGTTGTCTCCTATGTTCGTCACCTCACCATTATCGAAACACAAATGGCAATGGGCTGCTGGGCCGTGAAGTAACCTAACTTGTGAAATATCTTTTTTTTGCTCAAAATGAGCAATATTTCAACACTGCAAAGTCAAGTGACTGATGTGACGTAGTGATTCGAACTTCAGTTCTTAGAATAAATTGGCATCCCAGGCGGCTGCAATAAGCCAAATGCGAGTATCGATCTCCACTGAAGTCGGTGTTAAAAAACTGACGGTCCCTGCAACAAGTGGTCCGTCCTCCATTAGGTTCATACAGGTAAAAGTTAACCTGACGTAAGCGGGTCAAAATCTTACCTGTACAAATCAATGGGTACTGGACCTTGTTTTACAAGAAACTCTCTGGTAACATGACAGTGGATGTGTCATCCCTTGGACATAAGTAGGGTCCCTACAGTTCAAATTCCTTTATAAGTAGTATAATTACTCATTTGCCTCCCAAAAAGATTCACTTGGATTCACTTGGTTGTGTACTCATCATGTAAGGATATTTTGTCTGCACACCTGAACCTGTCGCTATGGAGCTGGAAATACAGTTAATCAATAATTTCGTTATCTACAACTTTACTTAGATAAATGTATCCACTGTCTTCATCAGTGTAACGATTAATATTAACTTCAAAGTGCCGTTGAAACCATCAACTTAAACGTGTGAAAGTTTTCAATTTAATTGATAAATGATGAATTCTGCTGATATACCGGAGTATTTAAGTTAAAGTTGAAAACATTGTTAGGTCAATCAAGTTATTACAAACAGGGCTACTGTAAATAGATTGACATTCAAAAGGGCGAAGACAAGCAAAATACTGAAATCATTTCTTGCCAAACAAGCAAATAATGAAGGATTCAAAATATTTTGTCATATTCAAACCAATATCTCCTAAAAAATAAACATTCATACTATACACATCAACTTTCTACATCCATTTTCATTCAGCTTTTACTTACTTTCACCCCACTCTTATATTCATACCCGCGACCCGTATATTTCTCTATATAACATGGTGCAGCTTTTTAATTCACTATCAATATGTTTTCTAAAAACTGTGTCCAACTCATGAATATTGCCGTATCTTCCCTTAACATCATTCTTTCTACTTTGTGGTAGTATTAAACAGTTTAATTATATTAAATGTTTTCAGCAATATATATATATATATATATTTTATTAGGATAATTATGTACAGAATTTCACTGTAACATTTCTCATGTAGATGTTATAAAGGCGTCTTTTATACTTGGTTTCATCTTCAACCCAGCGTTTTCCTCTACCATTTTCAATGTCCAAAACTGTTCAAGAAATATATAACCGAAAATGCGATATCTTCTTGAGTGTAACAATTGGTACACCAATGGGTGCTATTTCAATCTATTACATATTTCAATTATTCTGTGTATTATTCGAAATTGCACCCATAGCAATTAATATCGGAAGTGGTCTGAACTGGCCAATTAAAAAATTACTATATTTTTCTGCTACCTAACAATAAACGTCCATTCGCCAGTTTTCCCCATACATTATTCTTGTGCATTACCAAACCATTCATTTAATATATCGTATACAAGTACCTTACCAGTTTTAGTGAACATCAACATTTTTCTATACTATGCTCTCTACGGCATTGCTAGTGTTATCAGCCTTACGATAGCCCACCTGGTACCATACAATGCTATAAAGGGTGTGGCAAAGCTAAACATTTGACAAAAGGTTCTGTACTTTTTGGTATTTCCATTTTACTCAAAAAGTTATGTGTATGTTATACCTTTGTTCATACCAATGTCTTTGAAAGCTTCATCGATCTTTTGTTTGTCTGACCGTTATTAAACCACATTATAATATTACCATTTTGAAAATGCATCCAGATGAAATATATCATAAATTAGAATGATAAAGTAAATATATATCAATATATACATGTTTTTAGATGCATGATAATAACCCGCAAGTTTTTTTTAGCATGTATAGATCTATAGATGAATGGGCTCTGTGAATGTCGATTTTTAACACTCAAACAAATTTTCTATTAGCTTTGAAACGCAATTCTATTTGGAATTGGTACAGAGGCATATGTTTTTTTTTCTTTTTTGAAAAGTTGCTGGTATCCTTAACTATTCATAGCTTCTTTGTGTTGTTGCTTTGTTGACAGTCTTAGCTGACAAACTTCTCATGTAGTGGAACAGTGACAAATAACGGTCTCTTAAAAATCACTTCTCACGTTTCCACACATATAAAAAAAGGTAGAAAATTCATTATAATCAATTGGAATAAAGTCACATGAGCATGGTCGTTTCCTGTTTGTGTTTTACATTAAAGTTTTTTTAAATATACGTTTTTATATCATGTTTATCACAAATTAAGTATTCAATATGTATCCTATAATACGGGTGGCTTATTGCTGAAACACCTCATGGCACGCATTTTGATCTCGTTTTTCGTTTGAATTTTTTTTTGCCGTGCAAACCTCACCTTCATTCATTGAAAAGATTTTAGTTCAACATTTTATCAGGTCATGTTTAAAAGTTCAGTTGTTCCTTCATAATATTTTTACTCTCGTTGCTATAGACATCCGTACGCTTTTTAAAGAGAGGATTTTTTTAACTAATCATGCATACGTGTTTTAAATGTTGCTTCAGTGATTTCAATAATTGTTATCAATCACAAAGCTAACTAAACCTTGCCATTGTACTTGTTAAAGGAAATGAAACTTATTGCACCCCCTCCCCCGCCAATTTACATGCCTTCACGTTCTTCTTACATTCTTCTCTTGAATGTTTGCTCTAGTCATATGATCAAAATCAGAATCTTATTTTAGCATCCTACTTCAGAATAAGAAAGATAAGAAAATACAAATATACTGGGCAACGTTTTACCCTTCTTTTTTCCCAGTTTCCATTCTCAGAGTCAAAATGTGTTCGAGCCAGACATAATAAGAATTGCAGGTTTTTGAAATAACAATATCATTGACAAATTTTGAATTTGAGTAATAAATGAAAAAAAAAAAAACGAAAAAGCAAAAGGATAGAAATTACAACAAAAATAACACACAAAAACATTTTACAAATTACCATCAAGGTCATAGGATAAAAGAATCAAACAGTTTTTTCTTTGATGTGGTGCGGGTGTAGATTCACGGTCGTCAATGTCAACATCACGTGCGCCTGGACACCTTTTACATGGTCCCTTCAGGTGAAAGCGCTTAAAGCAGAAGTCTTAAATGAACAACTGTGGATAAGAAATAAAAAGATAGGCCCCTTTTACATCTTTCACACATGCACAAGCTTGTCTCCTTTGGCATCCAATATATTCTACCGTCAGTACATTTTCATTAGCTCTGGTCATATAGCAGTGGTATTGTAAATGCTAATGACGAGCGCCACATATGCAGTGGTTTGGGTTGTATTCTCCCCAGTAAGATGAGATGGAATCAGGAACGACGTTATTGTGATGAACCATAATAACCAGGCATATATTGCTGACAAGCAAATGTGCGGGTTTCTAATATATATATATATATATATATATATATATATATATATATATATATATATATATATATATATATATAGATAGATAGATAGATAGATAGATAGATAGATAGATATACTCTGTGTTCTCATAATTTCTATGTATCTATCCAACCCACGGGTTGTCAGATCAAATAATAATAATAATATACACAATATTCCTTTCTTCATTTTTATGCTTCTGCTAGAAAAGTCCAATATTTCAAAATGGAGAAATGCCACATAAGGAAACAAAGTGATAGATATTGCACTTTCTCTCAATTATTCCCTGGCAACATTTGACTTGATTTTCTTCAACCTTGATTCAAGGTAAACTATAGATAGAAGAAAACTGCTTGATATATGGCAACAAAGGGAATCGCTTCTACAAGGACATGTCGTTTTTTTCTGCCATTGAGGGACCAAACGGCCTTAATTACACGTCTGACTCGTCAATATTAGCCAGTTTAGGACACGCTTTAGTCACATGTATTCGAAGAACCACAAGAAACCGCCTTCGCCAAATTTGTTATATGCATTAACAATTTATATAAATTATAAACATTTTTATATCAATCTTCTAGGACTTAATTCTCGTAATTCTGTAGACCGTATTCTCTGTTATATCTTAGAATTACAATATTCGCATCATTAGATTAAAACAAATACCCCACTGATGCTATAATTTTATGAGATTAGCCGTTTCCTGATCAATCTTGCCCAAAAGAGGAGAGATCTTTGTAAACACGAAGCCCTCCCAGACTCTCTGGAGATTCCATCACTTATTTGAAGAGCACCGTTATCAGCTTGCTCCCCTGGTTACCGATTCCTTTATACCAGGTTTTTTTTAAGATACACAGCTTTAACACCCCACATGTATAGATATATATTATAGATATGCACTCGTATATGTATCTTTATATAAATATGACTATCAGTATGAGGTATATATGTATATTCTCTGTTACATATTATACAAAAATGTACAAAAAATGTAATTGATATCGAATGAAAAGAGATATCTTTTTTACAATACAGAAATATTTCATTGATTAAAAAATGAATAAAAAAACAGCACTAAATGCGACTTTTATTTAGAAATCTAAGACGCTGCGTTTATCAGCATTTGGTCTGATCCCCATGGCAACGCATTGGCACAGATACATTGTATTAGCTGGCTATGTCTGGGTCGTACGTGCCCTCCGCTCAGCCTGTCTGGCTAGATCTACACAGGTCTCTGCTAACCAGGAAACGCGTATTGATCCAACACCGGCGAAATGCCTGCTTTTTTCTTTTTTGAAAACATTCCTGGTGTATATACGTGCAGCAATATACTCACATACACAGATGCACGATTGCACATTGCACGCACAGTAAAGCTCACACAGACATTTTTTCTGTCTCTCCCTTTTTTTAATTCCACAAGCTGTCTCTTTCTCTCAGTGCTAAAGAGACGAATGAATTTACAACGTTCGAATTCATCTTCATAAAACAACAATTTGATAGTCTGCTGATAAAGACATTAACATTGTTGATTTACGTCAATTCTAAACTGTTAGACGTTTTACAGTTCTTGTTAAAAGTCTTAGTATGAATCTTAATTTTGCAATATAAGCAATGCTCTTACAATCGATCGGAATACAAAACATTAAAGAAGCGAGAGTCTTGAATACATATTGTTCAGTAGTTTGAGCGGTTTGTTCGAACACGCGAAGGGCCTAAACTCTCATAGCGTGATATCCTTCACAAATGCACGCGCTGAGTATAGAAACGGGCCCTAGTTTAAATAAAAATAAACTTGTGTAAATCGATGACATGCGCGCGTGTTCCACAGTTTACTGACCACTTTTCAAACAAAAGTCACGACAAGATAGGACGTAATGGTGTGCTTGATGAGGATATGCATTCAGCAATCAGATGTATCATAAGTCAAAGGCATGGCAGTCTTGCCATGAGCTCCCCACAACTTATAGTAATATTATGAACACACAAACAGACATATTTTTTCAGTAAAATGAAT